TTTGCTAGATGCCCTCTATTTTAGTATATAAGCCTGGCAAATGATTGCAGATAAAGAGATATAGAGACAGATAATTGAGTCAAGCGAGTGGTAGTGACCATAAGTAAAGTTCGTTAATCGTTGTGAATTATAGCGTGTGTTTAAGTTAAAGTGTCTGTGGAAATTCTGTGTATTGAGAAAGAATAAACTAGTTTTATTTAAGAAAGAACTTGTATCACTGAAGTTCCTCGGGAAGATTGTATACCGGAAATTAACAAACGACCAGAGACATAACAATCCTAAAGATATATTGTTATGTCTCCGTTCGTTAGTTAATTTTCCGTAACTTCGTTCTGACGAAACTTTAGCGACACAAGTCCTTTATTAAATAAAACTGGTTTATTCTTTCTGAATACAACTTTGCAATACACTTAATTTCCACAGTTGCGCTATAACAAACACTATCATTCACAACGAACGTCTCACATGCTCGGTTCAACAATACGTCTTTCTTTCTGTCCGCAGTTCAATTACCCATTGTTGCCGTCACGTCTTGACCGTTTTATATGTACAAGAATACTGAGTCTAGTAACCTCTCGACGTTTCATGAACGTTCTAGAAGTGCATGACGTGTTACTAGCGTCACTTGACCTCCGCTGTCGTAACAATGCTAAAGATATATGTTAAATTTTACCCTCGCACACTTAAACTGTTTAATTCTAAAGATATATATCACACTTTACCCTCACACTTCTTAAACTGTTAAATACCAAAGATATATGCTAAACTTTACCCTCGCACTCTTTAAATTGTTTAATTCTAAAGATACAGTATATGTTACACTTTACCCTCATAGTCCTTAAAGATACCACAATTCAGTGCATCAATACAAGTGAAAAACTGTTTATTGGGCATACTGAAAGTGAATTATGTGTGATTTAAAAAGCTGTGAACTTCTCAAACTGTAAGCGAGGCAGAAAGAAAGGTTATCAGTCACACTGTATGTTGACCACTATTTATTCCTGCTGTCAGTCTTTCAGGTTTAGCTTTTCACTGATTACTGTATCCGAGTTGTATTTTTTTAACCAGTATATAGACTGTAACACCATTTGGATATTTCATTATATGACAGAAATAAAAGGTGCATTTTTCTGTATAATAGAATTACAGTGCTGATGATTGAGAATGCAATTGTAAACATTTAAGAGGGAAATAATAACAATGCAGCCTGTTGTGATTTGATTTTGTATAAAACTGTAAATTATATTTGAATAATTTATAATTTTTTAAATGAATCAAATCATTTTACCACGATGAAACAAATAAAAATAGAGAAATGTGAATCATGTTGAAGCCAACTTTATTGCTTTGAAAAACTGTAACTCGGCATGGCCAGGTTGTTAGGGCGCTCGACTCGCAATCTGCGGGTTCGAATCCCCGTCCCACCAAACATGTTCGCCCTTTCAGCCGTGGGGGCATTATAATGTGACGATCAATCCCATTATTTATTGGTAAAAGAGTAGCCCAAGAGTTGGCGGTGAGTGGTGATGACTAGCTGCTTTCCCTCTAGTCTTACACTGCTAAATTAGGGCCGGCTAGCGCAGATAGCCCTCGTGTAGCTTTGTGCGATATTAAAAAAAACAAGCAAAAAAACTGTATGTTGAAATAATTATAAAAATATTTATTTTACCAATTCAGAACTGATTTATAAATATGGCCACCAGGAAAATCAGAGAACTTAATTTATATATGAGAGAACTATTAGTGTACTGAACAAAATTTGTTAACTTTCTGTTCCCATCAGTTAAAGAGTTCTACAAAAAATGTCAATATCCATTTCGAAATAAAACCACAAATATTTTTAAAAAGCCTAAAACTTTCAAAAAATATATATATTGCAAATATTATGTGGCGTTCTACCTTTTTGTGATGCTAATTACACAAATTTTTTACTAAGCATAATAAATTAGAAAAATTATGAAAATGAGAATTTACTTGTAGTCTCAAGATAAATGCATCTGCATTCATCTCAATCTGACTTTTAAGACGCGTTTTTTTCTTACTAAACACTAATTACTAACTTTCTTTTTCTGTTGTGGTAGTAGTGTCCAGAATTTTATCCTGGGTCTCCTTGATAGAGAAGCTGGTGTGTGATATCCTCTTCTGTAAGGTCTACTCTAGTAGGAACACAATCAACTAGCTTATTTGAATGTTTTCAAGATGTGTACCTACATCTTGATGATTTCTGTGTTAGGCTAATTGAATAACTTATTAATTAGATGGATGTGGAAGGCTTATTTTATCTTTCTTTTTTCATGTATGTGGTTCATATCCCATTATTTTAATATTATTCTAATTTATCATATCTGACATGATGGGTTATTCCAAATAGATCAATATTACAGGGTCTTGTACATCTGTTATACTTCTGAATTCTAACTTGTTGGTCTTTTCATTTCACCAATTTATTCCCAAGGAATTTTGAAATTGGTGCTTTTTCACTCCTTTAGTTGGTTGGCCATGTAAGGTGATTGTATTGTGTTGTGGTTTCTCAGTGTTGTTCTTCTTTTTGTCATTTACATATTCGCTGTATTGCTCCCTCCAACACAGGGGAAAATAACTTATATTTGGTGTTTATCTTCTTTATAAAGTGTTCCAGGTATCCAACATTAGTGACAGTTGTAAAGAGTTTTGTTTTTTCCTTCTTATCATCTTCAGTATTACAAATCTTTTTCATTCTAGAAACTTGGCAGTCTGTGATTTATAGTCAAGCTATTTGCCATTATTTGGGGTTTCTTGTAAACTACTGTTAGAAACTTGGTAGTCTGTGATTTATAGTCAAGCTATTTACCATTCTAGAAACTTGGCAGTCTGTGATTTATAGTCAAGCTATTTACCATTCTAGAAACTTGGCAGTCTGTGATTTATAGTCAAGTTATTTACCATTATTTGGGGTTTCTGGTAAACTACTGTGATATATGAATTATGTGTCTTGGTAATCATCACATCTAGAAATGGATGTTTATTATCATCTACTTACACTGTGAACTTTATCACAGGATGTTGTTTGTTCAGCAGTTCTTGTCTGTAGTGTGTGGTGATATTCCTAGTGTGTCTGAGCCAAATCATAGGACTCAGAGAGTTGTTTTGATTTTGTTTCATGTAGGTAAAAGCTACTCAAGTACTGGTAACAGTGATGAGCCCGTGACTAGGCCTTCGTGTTGTTGGTAGTATCTTTTTCATGTGGTGTTGTTGATACACAAGGTTATGAATTCTATTATCATGCAGATTGTCAAATGGATGCACTCTTTAAGGGTTTTATCATTTTCAAGCTGTTGGTGGAGTACTTGTAGTGTGTTGGGGGCTGTTACAATTGTGATAATGTCGGATACATTAAAGCTGATCATTGAGTCTTGTGTGGTTACCGTGGTAGCTTCTGTAATCTATACAAAGTGGACTGAGTCATTAACATGTCAAGATGTTTTTACTAAATGGTGGCATGGTGAACTGTGGGATAAGGAAAGTAATCTTGCTTGTGATATTTAAATATGTCATAGATTTGAGAGGTGACTATCGGTACCATTTCTGTTCCAAGTTTTTTCTTTATCTTCCTCTGGTAGGCTATAAATTATATTATAGCTGTATCGAAGGTGGGTGCTTTGTTATGTGTTAGGGTAAAGTTTAGTCCTTTACTCAATACACTTCAGGTTCAGTTAATGGTCGTTTACTGGTGTTAATACATGCACTTAGTGTGTTTGTAACATGAGTAAAGAATCGATGAGTGAATTCAGTTTATGTAATTTCTTTATTACATGTCCATGTGTGTTGTTATGATGTTTAAACAGCTGTGGAAATCTTGACAGGGTCTAAGTTGTCTGTTGTATTATCTAGTTACATATTGTTATTTAATATCATTGTGCATATTGTTTATTTATATGGTGATATTTGATCCTATCTTGGGACATAGCATTCTTCAGTGTTGAAGTTAGTCTTTGATTGTGGAATGTTGACAGGTAATTGAAGTCCTTAAGGAATTAGATTACGTTTGATAAATCCTTCACAAAGTCCGGGGTTATACGATATCTTTAAATAGTATAAAAACTAATTAGTAATAATAAAAAAAAGTAACTAATTAATAATCAGACTTAGGTGATCACTTAAGCTACAACTTGATTGATATCTAATCACCACAACCTTTGCACAAATGCATCTGTTCAATTTTTAGGTTTTTCAAAAGATAAATTTAGACCACCCTTGTTTTTTTGAGGATATCGGCAACAAACATTTTTCAATGCTATTTTAAGACACATAATTATATTTTGATATAATAATACAAACATATAATCTTACTGTGTGTAATATTAGCATGCTTCAGCATTCATTATACACAGAAAACAATGCAAGTTTTCCTCGAAGGCCAAAACTTAAACACCTTATTTGATTTTCACCACTTTCAACTCTTCTGTTTATATTAAAAAAAATCTAATTTTGTGTATTTAGAACCTATTCAGCACTTATAAGTACATATGTAGTTTTGTACACTTTTATTCATGCATTTGTAAGTAATGTGTATGTTTACTTTTTTTTCAGATTTTAGGCTGTTCAAAAACAGTACACATTATTGTCAAAAATTTATGATTGATTTCCAAGTAGTTAACATACAAAGACAATACTTAAAATAGAAATTGGTTTAACAATTGATAAATATGAAATTAACAAAGTAATTTCATAAAGTGGAAAATTCATTTGCATACAAAAATTAAGCCTTGTCTTAATTATCTTTCACATCTAACAGTCTCATGGTAATTTTTTTGGACTTAAGAAGAAGCTATGCAAGGTTACCTGCATTAGTCTTTCCTACTTTTCAAGTGATAGACTATATGAAAGACAGCCAGTCAACACCACCCACCTCTACTTCTTTAGCTATTCTTGTCAGACCAAACAGTGTTTGACTGTCACTCTTGTAATACAACCAAGACAACAAAGTGGTCCAGACTGTTGGTTATGGGGTTCTTAATTAATACCATAAGCATCACACAAAAAAATTAAAATATCATTAATATTGCAATTGATCCCATTAATATGGGATCCACGATGTACTTTACATACAAAATGAGCATTTTCGCACACATTTTTTTCCAGTTTTTTTTACACTGTGTTGTAACAAGAACATAAAATTACTCAGTATAACAAAATATTTGGACCCCACCAGTGTAAAAACAAAACAGGAATTGGAAGGATGATTTGTGTGTAGTAATGCACATTTAGTAAGGTTTAGGTGTTTAGTGATTATTAAGTAATAAGATACGATTGAGAAAAGTGTTTTTGATGACCATGGCAGGTTATTATTAGAAACATCTAACATTGTGTTGATTAACTAAATTTTCTGCACTTATTCAAGTACTAAAGTCAGAAAATAAGCATCATATATCAGCTGAATATGAACTATTATCTTTATTCCTTCATTGGTAAAATATTGGGAAACGTTTTTCTTTCACACAGGTAGTATTATACTGTTTTTACACTGGGTTATAAAAAGACAGTAAGTGCCCTGACATTATTATAGTGACGACCACAGTCCTATTTCACAACTACCAAAAATACATCAATTCAGCTGATTTTCCTTACTGACACTCCTACATCTTTGTAAGTTATTTGATGTGGGTGGAATCGTTAAAGAAATAGAGGCCTTTGTTTTATATAATTTCACTCACTTACATGTATCTAATATCCAAATTCATCTGAACAAAACTGAACTACCATTAATTTTCACATACTTCATTTCTATGACTTAATATCAACCAAAACATTTTTTAAACTCTTTGATAACATCCATATGACTGAATTTGTTGGGATCTTTATTAAAAGTTTTCAGAATTTCATGTCTTTCTCCATGTTCTTGACCATAATAAAGTTGGAACTGGTGGACAAGGCATTGGGCCTCCTCAATTTTAAGCACTTCTTCATCATGCTGACCACTCATTAGAACAATATCTTTTGTATCCTGAAGTTCAGGATAGTGAATAATAGTTAGACAAGGGGGTGCATTTTCTTTGTAAGACTGAAACTTAATCAGCTGTGTAAAGTGACATTCATTTTGTACAAACTGTCCAACAAATAATTCATAACCTTCCTTTCGAGGCACTAAATATATAAACGTCGGGAATAATTTAGCATTTTCATATATTTTTTTATACGTATTTGCTGGAATTACAGCAAACAGTCCACTTTTACTTTCGTGGTATTGCATCCATATCTGACTAATTTCTTCAGGTGTTTTGTCATCAAGTAAATTCACTTTAAGAATTTTGTTTAAGTCCCTTGTTTTAGAAATTCCCAAGGTTTCTTCATTCGCGATAGTTGTAGCGTCTTTTAACGACACTGACAGTTTTTTCACAGGATTTGCATTTTGATTTTCCTTTACATTTTGTAATAGACGGCTGAATTCTTCAGGGGATGACTTTTGAAGAGCTGCAATTTTATCCTCGTATTTTTTGAAAAACGGATTTGACTGGAGGCCTTCCTGGTCGGAAGAATATAATCTAGATTGATTCTTCGAACCACCAAAAACATGATAAAGTGAAGATCTAAATAGGATTGGCCTGTTACTGAACGTCATCATTCTTTTCCATAAAATCTGACGTATCCATTCACGTGCCATTTCCATCATAAACTATATTTTTAGATTTGTTACAAACACATAAACAGAATCACAACAACTTTCATATTAAAAGTATTAAATGAAATCAGTTTCAGAGGAAAACTATGACGAAAATACTGGTAAGTCCACTGCCTAACAATCAAGATACATTAACACAAACACTAATCTGTTATTCCCACTATATCTAATACCAATAGTACCAATTTAGGACGCAAAGCTTGGTGGTATCTTGATAGGAGAATTGTAGTAAAAATAAAATAAAATCAATTTGCAGTGTTATTTGAAAATTTATTGCAAACAAGATTATAATACTAAACAATTCATAAGTATAAATAATTCGAAATATTTAGTTATTTTCTGATACAACTTAGCAAATTATATTCCACCATCAATGACGCTTTAATTAAATATGTCTCAACCAAATTGGTCATTCTACAAAATGCGGTAGCAAAAAGTTATTAGGTAAAATGTGGACCTTTTGTTAAAAATATAGATATATAAAAGGAGAAATAAGAAAAAAAATCCTACATTTTCCTGAATGGTGCAACATGTAACTTACTAAATGCAAAACTATTCCTGCTGCATATGGAAACAAGAAAAGTAAATTTTGAAGGGATGCAACAAGAATTATCTGTTGTGAATTGGACAGCTGAGTTATTCGGAGACACTGTTCAAATGTGGAAAATTTTCAAAGATGAATTTTTGAATATTCAGGACAAACATGTTCCTTATAGAAAGAAAAGGTTGACTTACAAAGAGTATAAAAGATAAAATTAAAGACAAGCATAATAAATTTATGAAATTTAAGTTGACTGGTATAACAGGAGAGTTAGAAAATTACAAAACACCAAGAAACTTGGTCAAACAGAGAATTATGAATAAGAAATGATGTATGAGAAAAGGTTGGCTGAATATGTAAAAAATAACAGTAAAGATTTCTTTAAATACATTAAAAGTAAACAAAAATTTTAGGATGAGGTAGGACCCTTGAGGGATGATAAAGGAAGGCTCCTATCTCATGATTATGAGGTGGCTGAGTTATTAAATTCTGATATTTCTTCAGCTTTTACTGATGAAGATTTAAGCAGTATTCCACAACTTGATAGATGAAAACAAGATCGAAAAGGATTGGATATGTGAGCCACTTAAATGTTACTATTTTTTGTAAGTCCTTGTCTAGTGGGCAGGTACCAAAGGATTGGAAGTTCGTTAATGTCACACCTCTTTTCAATGGAGGTGATAAAAATTGTCCCAGTAATTATTGGCTCATTAGTCTTACATCAGTTGTAGGAAATTTTTTCTAAAGTCTAATAAAAGATGCTTTGCAAAGTCATTTAACAAAATGTTACGACAGCGGAAGTCACGTGACACTGATGAGTTTCTCGAACGATCGGGGAAGTTAGAGAATTTTGGAGATGCCCTCTTCGTTAGTAT